CTGGCGCTTGCTCACAGCACTTGGACCCCTTCACATTTCACACTTAGAGCCCTAATCCATCCAAAGTTGATTCTGTGTGATATGGAGCCAACATTAGCATTTTACAGATGGCTTCTAGCACCACTGCAAATCCCCATTTTATTCATGACTTGAGCTACCGCTGTTACTCTTTGGTCTATTTCCATGTTGTTAGAATCCATTTCTGGGCTTACTCCCCCATTGCCTTATCTATAGTGAAGTTTGTGTGTCCACTTGGCTACACCTGGTTGAGTGGCTGGGCAGCTGGATGTCGTATTCCCCATGATGAGACTGGTAATCAACTCCATGGTGGAATCTACTGGGAGCAGCTGAGTGGCTGCCTTTGGGTATGCGGTCTGCTTCTTGTATATAAGAAACAGCTTTGGGAACAGTCTCTAGTTTATGGCACTCGTGGACCCTGCATGTAGCCATGTCGTTGTTCAGCAGCCTGCCATGCTCTGCCGACCTTGGGACTTTCAATGGACTTGTATCAATGGCCTGCCGTGTGGTTTGGTATCATTGGGACTGCCATTTTATGTGTCGACCTTGGGCTTGTTAGCCCCAGCAGCCAGTAGCTGCCTGAGTGAAGAGACGCCTCTAGCTTCAGTGGCCAGGAGCATGAGGCAGAGCTGAAGCCCAACATTGAGGGGCTTTCACACAGCACCTAGAGCCTGGCATTTTGAACTCAGACTTCTAGCCTCCTGAACTGTAAGAGAATAAACTCGTTTGTTAAAGCCATCCCACTTGTGGTCTATTCCTGTCAGGGTGGCACTAGGAAACCAGAACACTATTCATGTACCAGATCAACAGTGTTACCTTGGAGGTTTTACAGTTTGAATGTCTGACAAGCGTAGTCTCCCTGAGAACTTGTATCTTACCATGCTCTTGACTATTCTCGTGTGTTTCCACATGAAACCAACTGACCTAACCCCCAAAACAGCTTGTTGGTGTTTTTATTGGAATTGAGTTAAAAGTATCATTAAATCAAGGGGAACTACTCTCTTTATAATGTTGAGCCAACCTTTTTGAGAACAGGATGTCTCTCCCTCTGCTCAGATCTACTGCTGCCCGGAGTGCTATGGTTTATCCTTTACGGCTTTTGCACATTTCATGCTGTATTAATTCCTAAGGAATTAATCTGCTGCCACCACTGTGAATGGGTCATCTCGACAGTGTGATCCCCCTGGCTATTGTGGAGGTGTAGTGAATGCTGCTGAATTTATATCCTGCTGCCTTACTTAAGTCTTTCACTTTTTGAATTGGTTTTATCATTAGTTCTCCAGAGTTTTTCAAAAATATTTTATCACTTGCAAATACCAAAACACATTGCTGTCACGTCCTGACTCCTAGTGACCCTATCACATTTGCAAATAAAGTTTTCTTTCTTCTTTATCAATTGTTAGGCTCCTAGTTGAGTCATCTGACTTGCCTGCTACCTCTGGTAGGAGTTTCACAGTAGCAGCAGAAGGCACCCTTGTCTTGTTCCGATCTTAATGGAAGTGCTTGTTACTTCACTAGCTGTGTGTGCGTGCAACAGGCTTTTTCATCATCTATGGAAATGACCATGATGTTGTTTCTTAGTAGTCTATCACCAAAGTGGGCACCATAAACAAATTTCCCAATATTTAACCAACTTTCCATTCCTGAAAGCAAACCCACCTGCTCACTGGATGCTACCATGCAGTTGGCTCTTTTCAAGTATCTTATGGAAATGACAATTTCTTGTCAGTTTCTATGACACTTATCTGCAGGTTTTTTTTTTAGTCCTTAACTGTCACTTGTCATACTTGTTTCTTACTGAGTCAGAAAGCTTCGTCTCCATACCCTAGAATTGTTGATAACACATTGGGACTCTCCGGCCTTTGAAGCTCTCATGGAAACGAAGTTATTTGTTGGTGGGTAGTCCTCTTCTGGGAGCTCTGGTGGTGTAGTGCCTAAGGCAGTTGACTGCTAACCAGAAGGCTGGTGGTTCATACCCACCAGCCACTCCTCGGAAGGAAGGTTGGGCAATCTACTTCCGCAGTGATACTGCCTCAGAAACCCAAAGAGTCACTGTGAGTCAGATCCAACTCGATGGCAGTGGGTTTTTTTTTAAGTCCTTTTCCAACCATCTGTTTACTCTGTGGAAATAATCTGTTTCTGTCGTCTTTAATGGGGTCCATTCTACACTCTTTCTCTAGGAAACACAATTTTATCTAGTGTTCAAGTTTTTGCAAAGTCACACAGTAATCTCATGATGTCTGTGGACACTTGACTGCAGTCATTATTCCCTTTGGCATTTCTTGACGTGTACTTGGACTTGTCCTAAAGTTACCTAATGGTGTTTATTTTTAACAAATTAGAAGCCTATTCGTTTCTTTCACTCTGCTTTATTTCTACATGTCTCTCTCATTTTCTTTGATTGCTTTGTTCCTTTTCTAGCTTTCTGATTGGGGTACTTCACTCCTCATCTAAATTTCCTGATGTTACTTCAAATGTGTCCTATAGACTGTGATATGTAGTGTCTTTATCATTACTTTTCCTAAATTCTGCAATTGTTTCCTACATTTCAGTTGCATTATTTGCACTTTGTTGTAACATAGAACATTTGAACATTAGGCTTCCCCACATATACTAGCAGCCAAGCACTAATTTCCTTTAAAGTCAAAATTACTTGGATTTAGCATTTCATAAGCTTAGTGCTCAGTGAACAATGGTTAGGCAGTGACTAGTGCAAATGGAAGGGGATGTTTTCAAAAGCTGTTCATTCAGAAAGTTCACTTCTGCCCACTGTCGCCACCTTCCTGAAAGATCCGTCTGTTTATATATACAGGTATTTCCACTTTTCCCAAAGTTTGCTTTCCACCAATCTCACTTTTACAAAAGACCTATATTAGTACCTGACTTTGTTAACCAGAAGAAATCCGAAGGGGATTTTTCCATTTATGAAAGAAGTGCACAGTGGTAAGTGTTCAGCACTTGTTCCGCAACAAGCCATTCAAGTGGCAGCACACACTCCAAGCAGCAAGAGTTGCCAAGCTCCTTCCCAGGACTCAGTATCAAGCCACTGCAGCCTTGAACTGTGTTCTGTGAACAGTTAGTGTGATTTTAGGTTTTATGTGGTTTTTGGTATGATTTAGTAGGTGGTTTCCCAGGTCTGGGAACACTCACAAAATTTTTCCACATAAACAAATGGTAATGGCTTCTTCGCTTTGTTGTTGTTACGTGCCGTCGAGCCGGACCCGACTCATAGCGGCCCCTCCTTGGGTTTCCGAGGCAGTATCACTACGAAGCAGATTGCCCAACCTTCCTTCCGAGGAGTGGCTGGTGGGTTTGAACCGCCAGCCTTCTGGTTAGCAGTCAAGTGCTTTAGGCACTATGCTACCAGAGCTCCTGAGACCATTTCAAATAACATGAGGGTTCACAGTTCACAGGTGCACTCTGCGTTCAGACAATAGTGGAAGCCTGTATACAATACACATGGATGTGTATGAGTATTTATATGTAACTATTTTTGGGGTTTTTTGCTGTAATAGTACAGCCTGGTAGTAAAGCCGCTACAGAGCGTGAGTTTCAGTCTCTACATCAGATGTATACAAAGGCTCATCTAGGAGTTGCTCAGCTGAGGCTACCCATGACACGGACAGATCTGCCTGGCCTGGCCCAGCATCTGAGTAATCATTCAAACACTGAAAAGAGGTATGCCAACCCAATGTGTCCTTGAATGACTGTAATTCCAGCGGCTGGTCACCTGCTCCCATAGCCAAGTGCAGCTCCATCACCATGGCACAGCTCCATAACCACACAGGAACCAACCTCCGGTTCCGAGTGAAAACAAACCACTCCTTTTTGCCTTCAAACAAAAGGGCACCTGCTTGACCAGGATGCCCCACATGCCCTTTGTTCCAACAGGAATTATAATCTACCATTCCATGGGCTTCTGCCAATGAAAGGGCTGCTGCTCCAAGGTAATCATTTCAATAGAAACAAAGATTTTAACAATACAATGTTAGATTTATTTTAACACAACCAAACTGAATGTGGAAAAGTGAGACAAATACAGAACAGCATATATACAGGTTACTAAAGGCTGCTTTTAAAAAACTGGGTCATAGAAAACGTAACTCATACAACGGGGAAAAGACCGGTTTAATCAAAGAGCTCTCGTGAGTTTGGTTTTAAGCCGTATGTAAATACAGTAGTCTCTGAGGGGTTTGGCAAAGGTTTATTGTTTTCTCTTTCCAGTCTTTCAGAGCAAACACACAGATTGGTTGAGCATAAAGTTGATCCTAGGAGCGCACAAAGGTAAGATGGAATTTGGCAACGTAGCTGGAGGAGGGAAACCTAGGGAACAGGTACCTGGACAGAGAACCAGTTAGTCCAAGTTAGTAACTTCATGTCAGAGGTTTAAGTCTATACACTGCCTAAGACAAGCAGCTCAGTGTGTGAAGCGTCCAGGGATTCTGTACCATGATTTTCTAGTTCTTACTTAACAATCAGCACATGAACTACTTTCCTCAGCAGAAAGCCTGCATCCACCTAAATTCCATACGAGATGGTTTCTACGCTGGCAGGCGAACCTAAGGCCATGAGAGTTACTATGGACAAGCCCCTTGCTCTAGTAGTTTTAATACCGACATTATTCATTCTTCCAAAACACAAAGTGTCAGAACAGAGCTACGGTTAGAGATCATTTGTGTTAAAGTACTACATACATCATGACTCATGTATTAACATTGTTTATACTTAGAATATCAAAGAAAATTTACTACCAAATATTGCAATCAGTGTCATCAGTCTGCCATGCTCATTAACGGATCCCGCAGGCATGATTATAGCTAAGTGTGAATTGGGAGCCATCCTTCTGTTTCACTAAACTGGGAACATGGTGTTTATGAAAAAACCAACCCCAGTCAGGCAGCCACCCAGGATCAGTCACTTCAGGTGGCTCTGTGGGGAACTCAGGATCCCCACATCACAAACCAAGTTGACTCCAGTCTTCATCAAAAGGTGCTGGTTGAGGTTGTCAAGCGCCTTCCAATATAGATTCTTAAGAGAAAAAGCAGTGGGCAGTTAGTGTGGTCTCGTGATTTTTTGGGTACTCGCAGAGCTAAGATGGCACCTAACGGTGGTGACAGCTTACGGAAGAGGACGTAATAGTTTATGGACAAATTTTTAAAACACTTATTTTACAAAATTATGTAATCAAGCTATCTGTACTCTTAAAAAGCTTTTAACTTTTCATTAGTAGGTCTTACACTGATCTAATTTAGAGACACCTAGCTTTGCGCAGGTTTCACGACAGAGAACATTAAATACAAGGTAGGTGCCAACCTGAGCGTCACTGACATGGAGAATGCATCCCCTTCTCCTATGTTTGGGTCCCTGAGTGGTGCATATGGTTAACGTGCTCAGCTGCTAATTGAAAAGTTGGAGGTTCAAATCCACCCAAAGGCTCCTGGGAAGAAAGGCCAGGCAAACAACTTCTGAAAACTCAGCCTCTGTAAATCCTGTGAACGCAGTTCCACCCTGACACGTGGGGGTGCCACGCGTCAGATCCAGCAGTCACTGTAAACCCTGCAAGCCCAGTTCTACCCCAACACGTGGGGACGCCATGCGTCAGATCCACCATCAGTCACTGTAAACCCTGTGAGCACAGTTTCTCCCTGACACGGGGGTGCGCCATGCGTCAGAATCCACCATCAGTCACTGTAAACCCTGTGAGCACAGTTCTTCCCTGATGTGGAGGGGTGCCATGCATCAGATCCACCATCAGTCACTGTAAACCCTGTGAGCACAGTTCTTCCCTGATGTGGAGGGATGCCATGCGTCAGATCCACCATCAGTCACTGTAAACCCTGTGAGTGCAGTTTCTCCTGACACGTGGGGACGCCATGCGTCAGATCCACCACCAGTCACTGTAAACCCTGTGAGTGCAGTTCCACCCTGACACGTGGGGGTACCATGCATCAGATCCATCAGTCACTGTAAACCCTGTGAGCATAATTCTACCCCAACACATGGGGATGCCATGCGTCAGAATCCACCACCAGTCACTGTAAACCCTGTGAGTGCAGTTCTTCCCTGATGTGGAGGGGCGCCATGCGTCAGAATCCACCACCAGTCACTGTAAACCCTGTGAGCACAGTTCTTCCCTGATGTGGAGGGGCGCCATGCGTCAGAATCCACCACCAGTCACTGTAAACCCTGTGAGCACAGTTCCTCCCTGACACGGGGAGCTGCCATGTGTCAGCATCTGCTCATTAATCCTTGTAAATCCTGAGAGCACAACACACGTTGGGGGGCCATACGTTGGAATCCACCATCAGCCACTGTAAACCCTGTGAGCACAGTTTCACCCTGACACATGGGGGCATCATGTGTTGGAGTTGAGTCAAATTACCCCAGATGTGCTCTCAGGGAGACCCTTTTGATGTGTGCCACTTACCCCAGGCCGATGGCCAGCAGGTGAGAGAGCAGCAGAGACGGGAGGAACACCTTCAGGAACTCTGCTGAGAAGATGCCCCCCTTCTTCATCACACTTGTGTTCTGCATGCTGAGGGTGGCCGTGCGCTTTGGGTGCTTGAAGAGGAACTCCCTGGGGCAGAAGAGAGTGGGGTCAGTCCCAGGGCTACGGTGCAGGGACAGCCATGACATTAGCAACAGACTCACTTGGGAGGGATATTTTCAGGCCGACTTGACCAATCCCAGATCCAGTCAGAGTTTTTCTTCAAGATGCTTTCAACTTCCTTTCTTCTCTCCATATAATCTTCCTCGGACTAAGGAGAGTAATTGCAAAAAGTAGATTAACCCACAGCAGCTGCACTTTCCACCAAACACCAGACAACACTGCTGCTGAACTCTGCCCAGACTCCGCCCCCCTCAAGCTGCAAGGCAGCTATGGCAGGAGCAGGGGCTGCAGTAACCCCTCGAGTGCACCCAGCTCCCAGAACACTGATCTCATTCTACATAGATCACCTATGTGAGGGCCTCACCTCCAGTGGTTAAGACCAGGGGTCCCATGGAAATGGGCTGAAGCAGGGAGGGGCAAAGAGGTGGCGTGCAGTACCGTCCAGAACAGAATAAAACCAAGAACACTCTACATACATGGCACAAAACAGAGAAGGAGCCAAGCACCACTGATGTGGCAGTTTGTCCTATGGTGGCCTGCATGTTGTTGTGATGGTAGAAGCTCTGCCACCAGTATTTCAAATACCAACAGGTCACTCATTGTGGACAGGATGCAACAGAGCTTCCAGACTAAGAGACTAGGAACAAAGACCTGGCAAATGATTTCTGAAATATTTGGCCAGTGAAAGCCTCACCAAGAGCAGCACAAGAACACTGTGGTACAATGCTGGAAGGTGAGCCCCTCAGACTAGAGATACTCAAAATACAACTCCTCAGAGCAGAGTGGACCTTAGTGACACACATCTGATGGCGCACAACTCAAAATGAGAAAAAACAGCTGCAAACATCCATGAGTAGCTAGTAGGTGGAAAGTACAAAATATGAAATCAAGGGAAATTGGAAGTTGTCAAAAACAACTTGAAGATTGATATCCTAGGCATTTGTTGTTGTTGTTATGTGCCGTCGAGCGGACCCAACTCTCCTTGGCATTAGTGAGCTGAAATGGACCATACCAGCCATTTTGAATCAGACAATTGTGGTTACTATGCTGGGAATGACAAACTGAAGAGGAATGGATTATCATTCGTTGTCAAAAAGGACATTTCAAGATCTATCCTGAAGTACAACATTGTCAGTGGGCAAAATAATATCCATATGCCTACAAAGAGGACCAGTTATGATTATTATTCAAATTTACACACCAATCACTATTGCCAAAGATGAAGAAATTAAAGATTTTACCAACTTCTGCAGTCTGAAGTTGATCAAACACACAAAGTTGAGTTGCCAGGTTGAAGGATTCTATGGGCAAAATATTGAATGACTCACAAAGCATCCAAAGAAGATGGAAGGAATACACAGTCACTGCACCAAAAAGAACTAACTGTCGACATTCAACCATCCCAGAAGGTAACATATAATCAAGAACCAATGATACTGAAAGAAGTCCAAATTGCAACCAGGAATTGATGGAATGCTCATTGAGATGTTTCAACAAACGGATGTAATACTGGAAGCGCTCGCTCATCTACGCCAAGAGACCTGGAAGACGGCTACCTGGCCAAGCTGACTGGAAGAGATCCCTATCTATGCAATTCCAAAAAGTTATCCAACAGAATGTGAAAATTATCAAACATCATTAATATTACATACAAATAAAATTTTGCTGATAATTCAAAAACAGTTTCAAGCAGTACATCAACAGGGAACTGCCAGAAATTGAAGCTGGGTTCTGAAGAGGACACAGAATGAGGA